TTTTCAATAAGACTATCACGTAATTTTTTAAAATCACAATGATTTTCATTTTCAACTAAATAAATAAATTCATATAAAGATGTTAATACTATATTTAGAATTCAACTATTTTTCGCTGGAGGATAACTTTACACACAATCTTTCATGTTACAAACATGTGCAAAAATCTGCTAATTTATTAGCAGATTAATTATTTCGTCTACAAGGCGACACATGCAAGTAAATATGTTATTTTATCCTTCTTTTTTTACATTAGTCTCAAGGTTACATTTAATTCAAAAGAAAATAAATTACTCATTTATATATACAACATATGATAGATAATGTTTATATATCATATTTAAAGATTGGCACTGGGTGCTACTGAAGTTTCGATTATCTTAACATAGAACACAATCAAAAATAGGTTATTATCTGCTTTTCAATTCTTGCAACCCAATTAAATTACATTTAAATAATCAATTCAATAATAGAGAAATCTAACCTTGAACAACACCCCATGGATATTGTCTAGCTCGTACATATTGATTTCCAACTTTAACTGTTTCATTACTTCCAATAATAGCTAATGGAAGAAGATTCTAAAGAGACAATTACAAAAAAATCTATATATATATTATAAAAAGCATTTTTACATTTGTTTTAGAATTTTCTTCAGCTAATGTTTCATCATCTGTTGGAAAACGATAAATTTTAATACCAGCTGTATTAAGTTCATTAAGAATATTCTGTTTAAATCTTTGTAATTCATTTTTTGATATTGTATCAGATTTAGCAATAATGGGTAATATATTAACTTTATTATCTAAATGTTTCATTGTTAATATATCAAGTGCTTTTAATGAATGACCTGTTGGATTAATAAAATATAAACAAACATGTATACGTGTATCATGATAATTCGATAAATTTCGTTTAATTTTTAATTCTTCATCTAAATAATATTGAAATTGTTCATCAATAAAATCTCCAATAATTTTAAATGAATCATCTTTATTGATTTGATCACCAAAACCAGCTGTTTCAACAACAGTTAATTTTAAACGTATTTCACGTTCAAATAAATCATAAGTATTTTTACGTAAAAATACTCGTGTATTATCATGTGTTGATGGTGTTGAATCTAATCTTGTATTAAATAAACTATCAAGTAATGATGATTTACCACAGGCTGTTTCTCCAACACAAAGAATATTAAAAACAAAACCATCCGATATAGCTTTGGCCATGATTTGATTTGGTAAATTATTAATTCCACATTCATCTTTTAATTCAAATGTACGAATCGGTGGAATCTATAGATCGATAAAGTTTCGAAATAAAAAATTTTGATTACTATAAAAATTGTTTTACCTGAGATTTTATTAATGTAGGATCAGTAGCATAAGGTATGTCTTTCATCTTTTTATATAATATCTAGAAGTCAAGAATTAGTGCGAGAGAGAGGAAAAAAATGATCGATTAATGATTGATTGATTAGTTGGCATTTGGTACGAGAGAGAAGACTAGAATGACCAATGGTAAAATAAAAGAACAATTGTTTTTTCGTTATCTATTGAAGATGATGATCATCATTCGACATCATACGACATCTGTTCGGTACTTAAATATCTTCAAAAATTTTCATTTACTAATACTTATAAGAATATTTGAGAAAAACAATAAGAACGAAAGTTATACATAGACAATTTGTATAACGATATGGTTGTTTTCAGTATAGTATAATTGAGGGTTACTAATCATTACTTAATCTATGTTATGTTTTGTTTATCTATCTGTCTTTGTTAGATAATGAATGAGCTTACTGTTCACATCCTTCTACTGATGGTCATGTTTTTGTATATAGAAAATAGAACAAAATGAAGTTTACATAATCATTGTAAAACGATGAATATTTAAGAAAACAATTAATTGTTATTTTAAGAAGAAGACTGATTTACTACTCAAATATTGATCGAACAAAACCGAGAACACTTATTAACTAAAGATTATTTATCGATGTATATTATATCATTTATTATTAATTGACTACAAATAAAAACAAGAAGTAGACATAAGCTGATTAAATACGATTATTTTACTATTCAAAAGAAATATGAATAAATTTTCTAGGGTAAAAAAAACAAGAATTCATTAATTATTAAAGATCTATTGATATGAATCTAGAATTATGATAACTTTCATGTGTAATTTAGAAGAACAAGCTATGAGAATAATTTAATCGATAAAGAATTATTTAACTAATTCAATAGTTGAGAAACTCTTAGAATAATAATATGATGATTCGTACATACTTCATCTATTAGAGATTTTTAAATAACTTTGCTTATGTAAAAAAAAAATCTTATTGAATAATTGATTGATTATATTCTTTTCTCCAATGTTCTTCTTATATTAGCTAAATACCAAACTGATTTATCTTTTTTTTTCCTAAAAGGTTACCACCATTGATACTCGTATGTTACAATCATTATCGATAGTATCTCTAAACTTTATTATTAAGAAATGAGAAGAGAAAAAAAATTAATTAAATATCATTGATTGTTTTCTTATCTCATAATAGTAAAAGTATTTTGTATATTGAACACAAAAAAAAAAGAAAACTCATTAACACACATCCGCTTCTGTACAGTGTCATTTCTTTGTATATGTTTGCATGAGGTAAAAGAATGGAAATTTCCGGATTGTTTGTTAACTATCATCACGTAATCAAACCCTACAATGATTTATCTATCTATTATCCTAGACAAGTCGGATTACAGGTGTTTGAATCGGACAAAGAATGCCATGTGTATGTTCATTTTTCATTCTGAGACTCAAATGTCGGAAATTACTATCGATAAAGATAAGAGAATAATGTTGAATTGATAATGAGACAGAACGATGGACATATAGTCGAGACAAATAAATAGAAAATTGATTGTTGTAAAACTCTTCAAGCTTTCATTATGCCTGTTCATTTTACGATGATTACGTATTTGAACATAATCTCCCTTAAATAAGTTATATACAATCTGTTCAATATAAAATCACATTCGGAAATATATAAAATAAAACATCGATAAATTACACATGTGTTTATCTTATTTTCCTTTTTGGAATGTTTCTCATATGTATGATTGTTACAAATAAGTATACGAAGACATGTATATTGTGCAAACTTATCATTAGTTGTCATACACTTGTCGAATTTCTATGAAAAGACAAAGACAAGTTTAATCCAACAATAATTAACGTTTATGTATAGATGTGAGTATGTATGAGGTTTCATCATTAGAATTAATTTGTCACTTACAGCGACACAATATTAAATCTGTTCGACAAGGTCTTCATTGAATATATATATATATATTTATACAAAAGACAAATAACAGCAACGATGTGCTTGAATAGACATATTTCTAGATCAATAAAATAGATCGAATAATAGGAATGTCTCTTGTTTTAGATCGACATTCATCGTTGTCGTTATATGTTATTTTAATTTAATAATCAAAAAGAAAACCCGAGTACTCGTCGTTTTTTTTCTCTTCAAAGCGCACAGCAGCAATCGAGAGGAAAAACGGCGAAGCAAGACAAATAATAGATGATGAATGCAAGAAAAAAGGAACAGAGAAAAAGAGAGTGAGAGAGAGAGAGAGAAAGAGTAAGAAAGAGAGCGAAGCTTCTTTATGGAATATGAAAGTGAACACACGATCGTAAGAATCTAATAAATTGATAGTCTAAAAATAACTATACTTTATATTCCCTATTATTTTTCGATTATCACAAATAGTCTTACATTGTAATTTTTTACAATAATTTGTTCACACATAGAATAGATGAGAGATGGTCAATTTTCTTTTCTTCCTTCCTTTCTCTCTCTCTCTCTTCCTCTACTTGCTGGACACACTTCTCTTCTCTCTTGTTCATCACTTTCGCTTTCTTGCTCACGCACATACACACACACACATACAAACATACATAGAGTAACATAGTTTTAGCACATCATCACATCATACGGTTGGTTCCGAACAACAAAAAGAAAGTCTCTTTCTCTATATAGTTAAGAGTATCATTCTTTTCTATCGAAGTCGATTGCATCACACATACATATACATAGACGATAATGATCACGGCAATTTGCTGTTCTCTTCGTTCTTTTCTTTGAGTTTTTCTTTTTTTAACATTGAAGATTGTTGAATTGAATACACACACACACACACACACATCAACACATGTTTTACTTACTGATCATACTGATTTGTTCTAATCACCAACTGCTGTTACATACAACATCAGCATCATCATTATTATTTACACTTGATAATGTACGATATTCATTATCGGATCGTGTATTAACGATACCTAAATTAGGTGCTCTTCGTGGTATTCATATTGATTATGAAAATGAATATTATAAAAAATATAATCTTATTAATATTGAAGCATTTCTCGGTATACAATATGGATTATATCATGGACGATTTGAACCATCGAAAGAACGTTTTGAACTACATCCAACTACAAAAGTTAATAAACAAATTCATTATGGGCCAGCTTGTGCACAACAGATTTGGACAAATGAAAGTGAATTAATACGAATACGAACAGAAAAATTTGCTAAAGATTATTATCCAAAATTATTAAAATATATTCAAAAACAGAATGAAGAACAATGCCTTTATATGAATATTTATCAGCCACAAATCAAGAATTTAAAAGGTAAATTTTTGATTGATGATCATCATTAATTTATTTTGTATACAATTCGTGTCATTTCTGAGATAAGCAGTCGAACTGCTGAAGATGAATGTCGTGATTATTATTGCTCTTCTGTACTAGACAATGATCGTTGTCTATAAAGCTCCCACGTATATATATATACGTTATTGATGAGAGGTGAATTTATGATCGATGATCCCGACGTCCCGTCGCCTAGTAAAACGTACTACTACTACTACTACTGCTCAGACACACTAAGAGAGATGACATTGTTGATACACGTTTGATCTTTTGTATGCATTCAAGGAGAGATACAGTTCCATTTGAAGAACATCTCAATCTCGAATGTACGTATTGAAGATGGTGTTGACGTGAAAGAAAGATCACAGTAATCCCGTAAGACATTCAATTGAACAGAAAAAGAGAAGTACAATAGAATGACATTCAATCTCTGTTTTTGACAAGCATTAATAGAAAATGAAGACTCAGGAGAATTTCTATTCAATTTCTTTATCTATTTAGAACCACTTCCAGTGCTTCTCTTTATACATGGTGATGGCTATGACATGGGTACGGGTGCCGCTTTTGATGGAGCTATATTTGCTAGTTATTCGAAAGCAATTGTTGTGACAATTAACTATCGACTTGGTCCTTTTGGTAAGTGAAATAGAAGAATATAGTAAAGAAAGAAAGGGAAACACACACATAAGAAAACGTTATCGTTCGCATTTATTTGTAGATCGTCATCTCTCTTTCCATTTTCTACTCGAATGAGCAACAACTCACCATAGCAATAGTTGTTGTAAGCTTGATCAAGGTTATATTATTTCCTGTGTATTCCACACAATTGGTGATTGCCAGTCGTTAGGGGTATTTCCGCTGTGCGCTCTTCTCATAAACTAGACAAGTTTCTTATCAATAGTTGGCAATTATTCTTGATTAGCTCACATTTGTCTCTTACCAAACATACACACACGCGTATATTTGAGTCTATTACTAAACCGTCATTCAATCGCATGAATGGACATGTCGTTCTCTACTTTTTATAATATATACATAAACTAAGCAAATCATGAAATCAAATGTAAATGATGAATGAATGAATTAAATGAGAAGTCTATATATTTATATGCATTAACATTTGTACATGTGCAAGAAAGACTGATGATATAAGTTCTCATAACATCAGATCATCATTTGGCATTTTGTCATTATGAAGAGAAAAAAAACTAAAAAAAAAGCCATAGGGTGATTTATTTATTTTAATAATTGTTGAGATAGAAGCAACTTTAATTGGACAACATAGGCGTGAGAAAGAACGAACGAATGAATGATGTAATTTCGTCTATGTCTCATCAGCACAATCTTTTCTATCCGGGTGCCATTTATGTTTACATACAGATATACACATATACATTTATGTATATATACATACATACAGAGTCACAAGAGATTAATGAAGAGGGATAGTCGAGTGTGGGCTTAGGGCAAAAATATTCATTAATCAACTGTCTTCAATCGATTTGTCTTTTTTTTTTCTTAAGAAGCCAAGATAAGGTATGTGTGTATGTGTGTTGCTCAATAATGTCATATGAGAAACACAATTGATAAAATAACATTCATCGTGTGTAGTAAAAGAAGAAAAAGAAAAAAAAGTGTGTCACATATATGAGAAGTCAAACACAATAGAGTAGTCAGTCAGTTAGTCAATTTGATTGTTTGAAAAGAAAAAAAAAGAATTACCCAAGGTGTCCGTTCGTTCTTGTCTAGAACAACATTCAATTACGGGCAACGTATGACGTCACTAAATTCAATTAAATATATTTTTTTATTATTACGGCTATCGACCAATATCTATATAATATAGCGTGACTTAACACTCAATATAAAAGCCTTGACAAAAGAAGATTTGTCTTTATTCTTCTATTCGAAACACGCGATCAAGTTAATAATCATCTATCAATCAATCTATGTCGAGACATCGATTATTACTACTTTTCTTCTCATATAATAAAACAGGCGGTTCTAAGTTGTTGTTTCTTATTCCATTGCCATGCTATTTGATAAGCATGTGTATGTATACATAGACGATATTAATGTTTATATGCCCGCAATCACTAGTCTGATCTTGATCTGTTAAATGCTTGCAGGAGCAGTTGTTTAAAAATATATATATAGACAAGAACAATATGGCTTTTTCAAAAGTGTTTGTTTGATCTTCTACTTTTTGTAAACATTCTTTACTTGAACGAAAAAAAAAGTTGTTTCTCTCAGGAGAGTTATATAAGCTTCTTCTTTTTACATTGTGTGACAGACGATTATAATATGTATATGAAATTCATCGTAAGCTTATAGTACAGTTAATAGCATATACAAGGTTGTATTTACTTTATAGGTTTTCTTTATCTATCACGTGAGAATAAAGGTGATTATGCATTACAAGACATATATACAGCATTACATTGGTTGAAAAATTATGTGACAAATTTCAATGGTGATCCTGATCGAATTACATTATATGGAACAGGATCAGGAGCTGTATTAGCAAGTCTTGTTGTTATGCTTGAAACTGTGAATGGTTTGTATATATACATTCTAAGAAAATTTTGTTGTGTTAAAAATTTTTTCTCTATATAGGTGGTACAGGAACAATAAAACGACGTAAATCTTTAGTTCATCGTTTGATATTAAATGATCAGACATTTCTTTCTCCACATATGACATCGATAATAAATGAAATTTCATCGTATCAAAATGATATTTTATCTCATTTATCATGTTCAACTTTTACGTGTTTACGTAATCAAACGTTAATAAAAACAAATGATTTATTAGAATTAAATACATATTCAAAAGATTCTGGATATATAAATTATTTAAATCCATTAGAAAATCCTTTTCCATTTTTTAATTCTCCTATTGATCAAAAAAATCCACTACGTATGAAATTTTATCATCAATCAAATGCACTTCTACCTGAAAATCTTCATATATTATTAACAATATCATCAACAATTAATCATTCATCATTAAAAGAAACAAATTCGAATAATGTTCTTATAGAAAATTTAATTAATTATGCATATACAAAATGGAATAAAAAATTGAATGAATATCATTTTGATAAATATCTATTTAATTATCATCAACAAATTCTTGCACCATTACTTAAATATGCGAAATATATATCAAATAATGAAAATGTTCATATATTAGAACGATATACAAATAAATATCAATCAGAATTACCATTCACATTCGGATATGTTCTAGCACCATCGATGAGTGTTTTTAATGATACATATTTAAATGCGAGTGAAAATGAAAAAATTGAAAGTATGAAAATTATGGATTTATTCGCTAATTTAGTACATAATGGGTAAGACAAGAAGATTAAGAGAAGAAAAAAACTGTTTTCTTTTTTATTAGAAATATTAATATGAAATCACCATATTGTAAAGATAATCATTGTGGATCAGGTGATGAATGGAGATCGGTCTTTCCAGAATTTAATTTTATTCAGCTCAAAGGTAATTGTGTGTTCAGTGAATTTTGTTCTAATATTTACATATATTGTATATTTAGATGGTAATTTAAGTCAAGTTACTGGTCAACATGCTCAAGTTCATTATCTTTTTAATAATCTTATATCAAATCTCAGTGAACATTCAATCGATAATGATTTATTAAATACTTGGAAAACTCTATATGAAGTATCACATCGATCAAATTTATCTACATATCAATCAACAAATGTTCCTTCATCATATTTAACAAAACGATATTCCCCATCGTTTTATCCTCATTTAACAAATCAAAAATTTATATTCGTTGTTTCATTAAGTGTTTTAATGTTATTAATGATTAATTTTTGTCTATGCCTTATTTTATCACGACGCGGACATGGTTGCAGAAAACGCGAATATAATTGTCTTAATAATCATAAACAATTGAATCTTCTTAATCATTCAGAAAAACAACAACATCAAGCAACACAACAACAACAACAAAATGGTGGTTCATCACCATCAAGTACAAATAGTAATGGTACAATAACCATTGATTCAACTCAACAATTAATAGTGAATACAAGTTCACATGAACAAGATCATCGTTCATCACCATCATCATCATTATTATGTACGACAACGAATAGTAGTTTTCATAGTACATCACCTGTTGATATAATACATCCAATAAATATAACGAAAAAAAATGGAATATTAAAATGTTCATCATTAAAAAAGACTAATGTACTAACACCATCATCTTTACCTGAAGCTATTGTATAATTATACATATATTTTTTCGTTTTTTTTATTTCTTGAATAAATATAACTGTTTGGAACAGTGAGAGTTAATAAAAATATTCATTACTATTGATAAGTCACAATACGAGTCCAATGAATAGACCCTTTTCAATATATCGAGAAATGACGTGAAGTTTTGTCCTTGAAACAATCTTCAGAACGGAAATTTCATTTTGCGATAATTAATAGTAGTATATTTGTCTTTTCTTGAATTAAAATCGTTTCTCTCTTGACACACTCGATTTCTATAAATCACATTGCATAGAAAGTATTGATAATTCTATCTTTTCTTTTTTAATGTTTGATATATCCTTGAGAAATAATTCAACAGTGAAAGATGCTCTATAACAAATTTTTCATTGAACGATCAATGAGGCAGAAAAAAGAACTTGTCGATTATATGTCCTTATCTACAACTTTATGCAATATTAATGAAGCATTTTAAAGATTACAAAATATGCAAAACTATTCTATATATATTGAAATATGAGTAACAACATTATCTGATACAATTGATTGATTATTTGTCGAATTTCTTTTGAAGTTATGTGAATTTCATTATAATTATTAATTCATAGATAATAACTATTTTTATTCGAAAGATAATAATAATAATCAATTGATAGACTTATAAAAATAAGTATATTAAATTTTTATGAGAACATTAATTATATAATAAAATAGAAAATGCAAATAGATCTCTGTTGTGCTAGTGAATCAAAGTGAAACATGCAACTAGCATTGTTTTTATACAATTAAAAATATTCTAGGTTTTCTTTTATTTACATGCAAATGCAATTTTTGATCCAGGGAGGAAAGAGGCTTTTGATATCTATAATCCTTTCCTGTACATTTTATGTATTGATGTAAGTTCTTAATGGAAAACAAATATGTCATTTTACTTCTAATCGATTCAATAGTTATTATGATAATTACGGGACAAAGACAAAACGTACTAGGTGTCCCGAACATCTGGTAATTTGTCTAGGTGTTCGGATTCGACTTTTTTTTTACCGGGAGTCCGTTAAACATGTTGGTCAGGGGGACCATAGCTTAAAAAAATATGTACTATGAGAGAAGAATGACATATACACTCACACTCACACCGGTTCTAACACCCTGCTTGTTTTAAATCTCTGTCATTCCGAAGATTTTGTATGTTTTTATATGTCGAGAAGTCATGAAGAACATGTCAGGGAAACCGTAAAAAAAAGTTGGTGCGTTATGTCACTTTCCCATAATTACGCAGTTGACAGTTGATTACATTTTTCAAACAAAAGAATATTTTTATTGTACCCACGCTTTTCTTTTTATTAAAATAATGTAAAAAATATTTGTCATTCGTGTCAAATTCTTTATTCGTTGTTTTTTCTTTCATATGAAAAAAAATCGAAAATATACTGTAATTTTTGTATAACTATTTTTTTAGACTTTATTTCTAAATAAATATGAGTGACGATTATCACGAATCTCCACCATCATATGGTAAATTTTCATATGTATAAAAATAAGATGTAACGGTTAGTTTTTTTTCAGCGAAGTTTATTGAAAAATCCGTTCATGATCCGCCTAACTATCGAGCAGCAGTGTATGATGTTCAACCAGTAGAGCCACTCGAAAATATTAGATGTCCAGAATATAATGAAGTACAAAACAATTCAATAATTCAACTAGGCGAAAAACCGTTTTCTTGTACTTGCAATAATTGTCATTCATCTATTGTAACATATGTTGAACATACTCCAGGATTATTACCTTGGCTTTCATGTGTTATTTTAGTTATATGCGGTTGTTGCCTTGGTTGTTGTCTTATACCGTTCTGTATTCATGAAATACAAAATACTCAACATTATTGTCCAAATTGCGAAGCATTCATTGGGGAATATCATCCTTTATAAAGTCTTATCTTTATAATAAAATTTCAATGAATAATTATTTAAGATTTTATATTAATATCACAATATCTTCTAAAACTTGTATATTTCAAATCAAATAAAATCAAACTGTAATTAATTTCGATTTCTTATTGAAGTAGCATTGATTAATAATGAACTATCATGTTTAACAGGATGAAATATGCGTTTACCAAAAGCTAGTGAATCACGAATATCATTTTCAGTAAGTGCAAGAAAAAAAACATCCATTTTCGAATGATCATAGATAAGCATTGTTAAATTAAACATATGACCAACAGTTGGAATAAGAAATTCTTGGTGATAATAATTATTATCGAATTGAGTTAAGTTTAGTTTTTTTCGCTCAGAAAATAATTTTCGAACGTAGTATTGGTGAGCGTTGATTAATCGACGTGATACACGTGAAATCATATTTAGTGAAGCTAACCATTTATTTTCTGGAAGTATTTTTAAAAATACTTTTGGCCACCACATCCAGCTAAATTTCAAAGAGGTACATGAAAAGAAGGAATATTAAATAAAGGTCAAACAGAAATATGGCTTTATCAGTTTTCTTCAAATCATTGATATACTATCTCTTGCAACAGTTATGCTTAAAACTTATTTAATATTTTTTTCTCAATCCAAGCAAATCTGTTCTACGTCATAGAACATAATGTGGAACAAAAACATCCTCATTCCTAAATTTCTTTCAAAAAGAATATGTACAATTCGTTTTTTATAAAGCATACTATTTCAGAGAAAGAATTATTAGTTTTCGTAAACGCTGTCGATTAGTAATATATATCATTCTACTGAATGTTCTAGAAAGATTTTCGTATAAGGAATAAAAACAACGTCTTACCCAAGTGTTCCTTGATTTCTGTAAATAATATTTCTTGATAAAAGATCTGCATGATTATTTGTGTATATATCAAAAAAATCTACTATATGATGTACATTAGTCCATGTAACATCTTCTTCCATCAGCCAAACATAATCTAGTGAAGTTTGATTATATAACCAAACAAAAGCTCGGTCCCAAACAAGATTTCTAGTTAAGCCATATTCAGCAAGACTTTCATTATGAACATATAAAAGACGATTTGTTACATTAGTATACTTTGATGGTTGTTCATCACACATAACAAATGCATCGACACCAACATGAACCAAAGCATTCAAATGTTTTAAAACTCTAACTGAAGGTGTTTTTGCTAATATAATTACAGTATGACGATGGCTTTGATCTTTTTTTGAAAAACTATAGATTAATACATTCGTTGCTGAAGATGATTGAACTTGAAAATAGTATAAAACAAAATAAGTAGTAAATATAAGAATAACACCGAATATATAATGATACCACATTAATATTCGTATAAAACGTTTATCTGTTAATAAAATAAATACTAAAATGAAATGATATTTTCAATAAATATACCTATTTACCATCTATAGATATTTATGGTGTGGGTGTGGCTATTCTCTACATTCGGACTCGCATCCACATCCCATACTCGCAAATCTCAGATTTGGATTTGGTGTATACCTATTTGTATAATTGCTCATAAGAATAACAAAACTCCATACTCATTCAGCCAAAATAATTCGACCAAAAATATTCCTAATTTCGCCAACGACCAGGAAAATAGTAAAAAGTAACAAAACTCAGAAATTCTCTTGACTTTTCCGAAGATCTGACTACCTTACTAAAGAATCTCATTACTAATCACCATCACTAGTATCTAATACTACCACTTCTTACAATTCAAAAGCCATAAAGCATTATTTATTTGGTTCTTAACCTATTTCTAGGTGTCATAGCTTGAAACTTGACGTTAAGCGACAATCTATGAAAATAACTTTTCGTAAATTAATATCTGAAGATAAAGTAAACACGAGCATCAGAATAAAAATGTCACATTACTTTATTATGAAGTTGTTTTTTTAGAATTTGTCAAGACACAAAAAAAAGATTGTGAATGTTTTATCATATAATAATTAACTAAAGTTTGCCTATCTCATTATTGTACTGCAAAGCAAGGCATTTATGTAGTCCTGCGCGAGTTTTTACCTTACTTTTTCGGTTTAGACATGAAAAGTTGTAATTCTATATCGCGATGATCTTGCGAATAAAAAATTAGAGAATAATAATCGAAATGTAAGATGGAAATATAGCGAGCCGATCTTTCGTATGACCTTCACTTAGTCAGACAAGCTTTGAAAAAGAAACGACTTTTTACGAGTTGAAAAAAAGATTGTTTTTTGAAGAACAAGCATGTTGTAAAATTCATTTTTCTAACGCGTAGAAATGTGCGCTTTTAACGCGTAAAAACGTCGTTCTTTTTTTCAAAGCTTCTCTGACTTGACAGTTTGTTTACAGAAAGCGTGGTAAAAACATAATTTTGACTATAAGCTTTGATTTTTTTACATTTCACAGCAATTAAAAAACAAGAAAAAAGCTGAAGCTAAGCGTCGTTTTCTTCTAACAAATGTTTTACAACTGATGATAGATAATGAATTATCAGTGTTCTTTCAACATATATTTGTGTAAATTCTTGATTTAGATGAACTCATCTGTGAAACTGGTGTCATCTATATTTAGACATTATGTAAATTTGGCTCCATTATAGGATACTTGAAAATGTTGTGGAACTCGAATACTATCTAGTCTTTTTTCAAAATAAAAAGGTAAAAATCTTGTTATATCTTGCAAGATCAATTTACCAAAGAACGCTATTATTCTCAAAATTAAAACTTTTCATAGAAAAATTCATGAATTATTGCAAATAGTATTTACTATATATCAATATGGAAAGATTTTGCTTAGATTTCTACAATGTATGTGTATAAATTAATATTATATTCGTTTGATTTCATTGACTGACAATGATGTATTTCTCGTCAGAAAGAAGAAGATAAGAGAAGAGGGAAATATTCATCTTACTTTATGGCATAGGTCTCTTTCTTATCATATTAAATATCGTTGGCATTTCGCAATCGAACTAATTTGTAATAGGATACTATATATTAATATAACTCATGTGGAATAAAGGAGAAGAAAAATTCGTATATATGTAATCATATAAAATACAGTAGAATCAATCATTTTTCTAATATTATTTACAATGAAGACGAGTGCATTGTGTATATTCGTCGTATTGCTCTTGAATCTGATCACTTTACGGAATACCTTAGCAAAGCCAGCAGAGAAGTCTAGATCGAAACTATTCACAACATCTGCAGTGAAAGATAAAACGAAAACATTCGCTATAACAAGTGAGATCGATCATTTTTTCTCCTCTCTGAAACAGTCTTGTTGAGTTTTATATTTAAAAACGAATCATGCCTTCTCTATTGATGTTTCTATTTTATAACAGATTCAACCGTTATCGTCTCGAACGATGGCCAGTACGAGGGGCAACTTAAACACGGCAAAAAGAATGGACGTGGCACATTCACGTGGGGATCACAAACGAAGTGGGCAGGCGATAAATACATAGGTGATTGGGTTAATGATAAAATGCATGGTCGAGGTACAAAACAAACATGGTCCAGTGGCACCAGGTACGAAGGCGATTTCAAAGATGGTAAAAAGCATGGACGTGGCACACAGACGTGGGGATCAAAAACGAAGTGGGCAGGCGATAAATACATAGGCGACTGGATTAATGACATCAGAAATGGTCAAGGCATATACATATCGGCCGATGGCACCACATACAAAGGAGATTTCAAAGATGACGCAAAGCACGGTCATGGAACATCCACGTGGTCCAGTGGCAATAAATACATAGGTGATTTTGTTAATGACAGTAAAACTGGTAAAGGCACATTCACATGGCCCAGTGGCGACAGGTACGAAGGAGATTTCA